AACCATTTACATTTGTACAACCAATACAACTCAATTTCAACCGTCCATTTAATTTGATGAATATATAATTTCATAGAAGTTTTGATTGTTTTCTAATATAAATTATTGATTATAATTAATGAACTTTATTCATCTTTAATAAATATTTAAATTATAATAAATGAACTCTCATCATTTTTATAAATATTTTAATTTATTAAGTTACATTAGTTGTATAAATGTGATGGATTACTTTTTTATAAATATTTCAATTTACAGTTGGTACCTATTCATAGAAATTCATAATCATTCATAAGAAATTGAAAACCATTTCATAAGAAATTCAAAACCATTTATAAGAGAGGAGTGAAAGTTAAATAAATTTATAAAAGAACTAAAATATCTTTGAGTTAATAGTTTTAATTGAAAATGAAATAAATTTATAGGAGAAAAAGTGAAACAAAATGGTAATCATAAATATTAAAATCGTAATTATTTTAAAATAAAGATGATGTCCACGTGGATAAAAAATGTAATTTACTCCTTAAATAAGAATATAATATAAATGCAGCCTCATTAATTAAATAATAATAATATATATTTTATTTGTATCCATACCTGATACTTTCCGCTTGACCTCCACGAAGGTCACCTGTTTCACTCCACAACACCTATAAATAATCCCTTCACTCTTCATTCCACTATCATCCTAATTCTCTCCTTCTTCAATCTTCCTCTTTTCCATCAACAATGGCGACTTTGGATGAAGTTTCTGCTCTCCAGTTCATCAGACACCACCTGCTCGACGAATATGATAACGATACTCCTGATTGCCCTGTATTCACTTCTCAAACATCAATTTCTCATCATTTTGAGTCTGATTTCGTAATTCAATTTACAGTACCGGAATCTGTCGATAGTAGATCTGGAAAACCGCATTTGGAGGTCGATTTGAAGGAAACAGAGTGTGTGGAGGAGGTGGAGGTTCATTACAGAGGAGTACGACGGCGGCCATGGGGAAAGTATGCGGCTGAGATCCGAGATCCAAAACGTAATGGAGCTAGGGTTTGGTTGGGGACGTTTGATACAGCTATTGGAGCTGCAAAAGCCTATGATAGGGCCGCATTTGAAATGCGTGGGAGAAAAGCTATTCTGAATTTCCCTCTGGAGATTGGAAGTGAAACTGTTAGCTGCCGGAAAAGAAGCAGAGATGTAGAAGAAACGGTGGTGGTAAAAAAGGAGAGGATAACGGAGACCGGTGATGAACCGTCAAGTTGGACGGCGGTTTGGGACGACGATTGGTGTTTTTCCAACATCCATCCCTTGTCTCAATTAACGGTGATTCGAGATCAGTCAAGAGAGAGTGGTTCGATTCTATCTACAAGTTGCTAATCTTCACAATCCACATAAACCTTCGATTCTCCACAATCGTCACTAAATTCTTTGATTTGATTACTTTTTCACAGTTCGAAAATTTAAGTTTGTTATTTTGTGGTTTCCATAAATTTATTACTATCGAGACCTGAACGAATTTGACCTAAAAACAACAACTGAATGCAGAATAAACTATTTATCGATTCCATTTATTCATCATAAAAAAGGTTGATTGTCATGAATTAAGATTTAATTTTAATTATCATAAATTCCATTATAGACTTGAGATCACGTAAGAACCAAGGTTTTTCATGAGACTCGTAAGACCAATTATCAACTCTTGGATTACATCTACAATCCGAACATTCATAATCACAAAATTGCAACAAGACTTCTCAATAATCATAAAATTGTCACCGTGCAACTTTAGACCATAGATAATTAGCTTATAAAATTGATAAATAAACATAAATTAGTCTTACGGATCTTACGAAAAACTTTTGATCTCACGTAAACCCAACCCTTCAATTATATACTTATAAATAAAGTATATGGGTTTGAAAGGATTCGAATTCTTACTTCATCTATATTTATCGATTCCTTTGTTACTTATAAATATTATAAAAGAGAGAAGACATATTTTCAGTTACCGTAGCTTATCCAGTTGTGTTGTTGGAATTAATTGTCGTTGTAATTGCATCTTGAGATATAGATGCATGAGTATCTCTAGTACAAAAGAGATATAAAAATACGTTGTACAAATATAAAAACCAAAATAAATTATGTTGTTTATATAATTTACAAATAAATAAGTTTTATTGTTTTGATAGGCTATTACATAATAAATTTATTGGTGATTTTAGTGTCATTAACCATTTAGTGTAGTTGTGATTTACTAGAGATCAAGTAATATGATGAGGCGAACATAAGTGAGTAAGAGATTGTGGAGTGTACATTCACAAATGTTGTCCCTATCACCTTAGATCGTCAGGTTTTTAGAATTTATGAATAGTTGAACTTAGTGAAACTCTTACTAAGTATGAGTCTGGACTAGTGTAATAAGTGATTTGATCATCCAAATCAATGATCTAAAATCGTAGTGAAATCATATTAAGTAACTTTGGACCTGTTGCTCACATTATCCTAAGTCTGGACCAATGGGTACAAAGATTTGGAACTTAGTAATAAGTCTAGATTAGCGGAGTCGGACTTAGTCCTAAGTCTGGACAAACGAAGTCAGATTTAGACTCAAATTTTAATTTAGTTATAACTGCTTTCCGATCTTATCAATTAACAGTTATTACCGTTTAACCGTCATAACTATTGATCTTTCTTATAAAATTATAATTCGTGATACGAGTACATATAGAATATTAAATAATATATAAAAAAGTAGTTATTAGGTGTGATTAGATTGATAGGCTAAATAATAATTAATTTGAATATTATTAATTAAATAGATGAACCTTTTTTAGCCGTCATTGGCATTTTCCATCAACATGGAATATTTATATCACGAACTTTAACCAATCATACATGCATGTTCAACAACGTATTACACGATTTGTTTATTCAATTTTGTATCATTAGGGTTCTAATGTTAATACAGATTTTGTCATTGTACGGTTTGTAAACTACTGTTAGTTAAGTGAGGCTTGTATAGTACTGAAAAAACACGATAACTGATCAATATGAGTAGTACTGGGAAAAACACAGTAACTCATTAATGCTTGATACATCGTCATATATTTTTTTCCAGCATACAGAGATTGAAAATAAGCAACTTATAAAATCATATTGATTGAAATCCAACTATTTCAAATAAGGACCAACAATGTAGTTTACTATTGTTACGATGCTTGTATACATAATTCTAATGCGAGTATCGAGAATTAAGGGTTCTAGTATCACAAAAACTACGACTACTAACTGTACGACTACCAAGATGTGAATCGGTGGTTGTCTAATTAACTAACGTAATGAAAACTCAAGAAGATATCAGGAACTTAAAGCAATTAACTAGATTAAATTCAAGTTAGAAAGGTAGTTGGAAGTTAGTTCTGTTTAGAGTACCTTTCAATCTCGCAAGTTATCAGCTAAGACGTTGATTGAAAACAACAAACTGGCTCGTACTTACTACTCTCGCTCAAGTTATAAAAATGTTATTTTCCAACTACACATGTTACGATCTCTTGACTAAGTGTTCAATTGTTGCTGAGTGTGAGTGTTTTATAATCTTAGTGCGCATGCATTGTTGCTAATATTTATGATTTATAAAACTGTCTATGGTGTGGATTTGTTGTTAGAGGGAATTCACTAGACCTTTTGGTTTAACCCTCATTTTTATAAAACTTAAAACTTTTCAGGGACGTATCACATCGAGAGTTCTAGCAAGGGCAAGGGAAAGGGAAGAGTGTGATTTAAAGGCGTTAAATGATGGGCGTCTTCTCTTAGTTGCATAATCGCCTTGACCTTATGTCTAGTATTGTAATAAATCTCAGCACTAAACTTTGTATCTTTCCGTTGCAACTCTTGAGATCATGTCGTATTGTAGACTTATTTTCTTGTCGGTTTGGGCAAAGGTTATGAATGATCTATTTTGAGTTTATTGTTAAAAAATTCTTTAAATAGGTTAACTAGAAGGGTATGTTAGTCATTTTATTGATTTATTTAATTTTCTATTAAAAACTAAAAATATATTGTGTATTATATTGTTAGAAAACATTTCAAATACAAGTCATCACATTTGTACAACCAATACAATTCAATCAATTGAGATATTTATGAAAATAATGAGATTTCATTTATTATGATTTAAATATTTATAGAAGATGACTAAAGTTATTAATTATGATCAATGCTTTATATTAGAAAACAATCAAGATATTTATAAAATCACATATACATCAAGTTAAGTGGACGGTTGAGATTGAGTTGCATTGGTTAATAAATCACCTCTATATTGTTATTTATTTATTTATGTATAACAGAGTTGAACAAATTTTATTTAACTCAGTTAAGACAAGGGACCAAAGATGTTATAAAATACATACCGTATCAGTTAAATTCATATTCATCTCATTTTAGGAATCTATAGTGTTATTTCATAAACTAAAGGGACCAAGAATGTAATTTACTCTTTTTAAATGTTATCGAGTCAAACATTAATTTGAAAATAAAAATACGCACCTTCCATGAAGCCACCTACGAAGCTCCCAAGCATTCAGCAACACCCCTAGCAACTATGTATAAATTCTCAACTCACTCTCATCTTTCATATCATCTTCACTCTTTTGAATCGAATTCCATCATCAATGTCTACTTTTGATGAAGTTTCAGCTCTTGATTTCATCAGACATCACCTGCTAGACGATTATGAAGCCCCTGTTTTGACTTCTCAGACATCAGTTTCTGGATCTGATCTATCAGTTTCTGATTACTTTGTCTCTGAGGAAGAATGTAAAACCACATCTGATTTCTCAATTCGTTTCACAGTGCCGGAATTGATCGATAGTAGATCTGGAAAACCGTATTTGGATGTCGATTCGAAGGAAACGGAATGTGTGGAGGAGGTGAATGTGCACTACAGAGGAGTGCGACGGAGGCCGTGGGGAAAGTACGCGGCGGAGATCCGAGATCCAAAGCGTAATGGTGCTAGGGTTTGGTTAGGGACGTTTGATACAGCTATTGGTGCTGCAAAGGCTTATGATAAGGCGGCATTTGAAATGCGTGGGAGCAAAGCGATTCTGAATTTCCCTCAGGAGATTGGGAATTCAAGCACAATAACCAGAAGTGAAGTTGGCCGGAAAAGGAGGAGAGATGTGGAGGAGATGGTGGTGATGGTAAAGAAAGAGTGGATAATGGAGAAGGTTGATCTGCCATTGACGCCGTCAAGTTGGATGGCGATTTGGGGTGAGGATTGGTGTGGGACCCATCCGTTGTCACCGATGTCTCAGTTAATGGTGATTTGAGATTAACCAATCAAAATTGATTATGGATTTATTTATTTATCGATTTATTTATTAATTTATTTTAGAATGAAAGAAATATTTCTTTATTTTAAAATTGAAGTTATATACTTGAAATGCATCTAATTAAAATATATTGTATTGGATGAACTCAATTTCGGTTAACATATTATTATTACTAGTTGTGTATCCGTATAATGCGGCGGGAGCCGTAAATTATGATAATATTAAAGTTTCACTGATTTTATTAGAAAAGATTTAACGATGATATAAGTTATACTTGGTCTTTACATATTAATACAATTTGAACAATGAGAGTTATGGTTTCAATTACAGTCTATCGATGAAAAAAATTGTATGACAATTTAAAATCCAATATATTTAAAATCCAACATATTTAAATGACTCCACAAATGTATTCGATTTACACAAAGAGCAAATAATCAAGAGATCAAGACCAAGAGTTCTAAAGCAATTGAATGAGAGAACTTTTAATAATTCATGGTGAACTTAATTTTGAATCTCACATTGGGGGGATGGGGAAAAGACATAGAGGAGTGAATACATTAATGAAAAGTGTCAAAAGTATCTTGAGAACATAAAAAGAAAAGATAATAATGTACATTGGTAACTTGTACTATATGTTATTTTAATTGTAAATTAAGAGATTTTATTACTGAACGCATAAAGTAGTAGTACTTAATGCATTATGGGTTGTTTTTAAGACTTTGTGCATAAATATATAATACTTTGTGTATAAAAATTGTTGTTAAAACTTATGATAAATTTGTTTTACAAGGTAGATGATGATTCCTGAAGATAGATAAGTGACCGGTTAACTAATCTTGAACTGGTATAAATTGAGGACCGGTCCTTAACTGGTAAAAGAACTCCGATTAAAGTTCGAAAACCAGTTTGATCAAAAGTTCGTTGCTTTTATCTCAACTATTTTTACAATTAAAATAATAATTTGTGATCACCAATAATAAATTAAGGTATAAAAATATATAAAATATTTTAAAACAACAAGCAATACAAATGCAGTCGAGGGTTTATTAAAAAAATATCGGGTTCTCCTTGTGGCCAATGAGGAATAAAAATCCCCTTGTGGCCACGGAGGTTTAAATGCGGTGACTCCGGGCTATCTGTAAAGCAGGTGGTTGTCCTGAAATTATTCGGCTCGCATAGCAAGTTAAATATCCAGGTTAATAAAAAAAAATCTAAAAACAATATAATTACCTATTTTATACGTCACTAATAACCCAAAAGTTAAGAGCATCGAATGATAGGAATGTTGTACCAAGAAATGAAGACAAGAAGCTTATGCTTATGTTTCATCTACCCAAATTGAGTTGCATTAGAACCAAATTTATCTTATGACATTTCATTATAACAAAAAACATCATAATAACATCACCCCAGTTTGTAGAGGAGGCGATAACAAAGAAACGATTGCAGAGGAGGCGATAAACAAAAACAAAGCAAAATCGTGTGCAGCAAAAAAACGAGAGGGAGAAATCAAGAAATCATACCGATTGCAGAGGAGGCGATGGAGGCCGGTGGAAGAAGCCGATGTGGAAGAGGCGATGTGGAGGAGGCGATGTGAAGAGGCTGTGGAAGCGAAGATGACGAAGAGACGATGTGAAGAGGCAGACGATGATGGAAGAGACGAGGTGAAGGGGCTGTGCTAATTAGGTTTTCCAATTTGAAACAAGGGTAATATAGTCAAATCATATTTAGTCTCATGTTGTTCCACCTTTTTTGGTGGAACAAAAACTACCAAGTTTTGTCCCATGAAATTTAAAAATAGTCTCATCTTTTTCGTATTTTTTGTCCATGGCATGCCAAACATAGGACTATTTTCTTTTGTCCCGTCCCGTTCCATGTAGTCTGCATACCAAACGCACCCTGAAGGTCATGATAGAAAACATAATGTAAGATGAGAAAGTGAGTAGGGTTCTGAAAGGTGATTTTAATTTATGAAAAAATCATACGTATAAGGTTGAATTATTGTGAGAATAAGAGTTACGTTGAGAAGGTGAAAACAAAACCTTCATATACATCCATATATTTTCATCTATTGTTAATTGCCTTTACTTATTTTTACCGTCGCGACCGAAGTTTTAACAAATTCATGCATATGAAAACGATTTAATGTATCTATAAGTTTGCAAAGGTGAAGATAAAGGTAGTTGAAGGAAAAATAAAGTTAGATTAAAAAATCACTCATCTAAAGACTCCAGAATATTCCCATCATTCGCACAATAATTGTTATTTCCACATGATCTCGTGTCTAGACGGGGTTGGGATCCCGTGAGAAATGTCATTTTTCTTGAGAATATGAGAAATAATTCAACTTAATCTTCATATTATATCTTCAAATCACTACTAGAAAACAAGGTATCAGCGACGAAAAATCAACGAGGGAAAAAATCCCTAGCAGATCAGCGAGGGATTGGCCAAAAACTCTTTCCCTCGCTGATCCGTCGCTGAAAGTATACTTCGTAAATCAGTCGCTGAAAGTATCATTCGTAAATCCGTCGTTGATCCCTCGCTGATAGCATTACCTACGAGCATTTGACCGACGGAGTATCAACGACGGATGACCCTTTTAGCGACGTATTTGCGAGGGAAATTTCTCTCGCTGATACTCTGCATTTTTGTACTGAATGTACCCTTATATAATGTAGATATATGTGAATTAGGTGATCATTTTCACATAAAATTGTACATTCACGGGTGTAAGATTCACCACCTTCACAAAATATAATTAACATTCACAAAATATAATAAGGACGAACATGATATGGTACCATGTTTGTTTTCCGTTATAGCGTGTACCAATCAAAACTATAATTGGTATTGAAAGTCGTATACTGTGTACTGACCAACTAAACCTGATATCAAGTTTTTTCGATTGGTAAATGATGGAATTGATTATTTATCAACATTGCAAAAGATAAAGTTAAGTTACAATGTTCAATAATCAAACAACAAAAGTTGAAGTTGCATGTGTAATGATCAATACTTCAAAAACCAATACCAACATTCAAATAAGGTTTTTTATGGGATATTCACAAAGCAAACAAGTTATATTGATTAAGGGAGTGTTTGGTTCGCAGAATGATTTCTGAATGAATGGAATCTGTCAGAGGAATTGAAATTTGGAAGGAATTTGAATGAAATATTATCAGGTTTGACCAAATGTTTGATTGACAGTAATGTAATGTAATCAGTTTAATGAATTGGAATCTGCCTGTTTGGTTTACAACATAATTGAAATGGAATGATTGAAAAGGACAAACTTACCTTTTCTTTGATACTTTTTTAATTACAAATAACAATAAAATTAACATTTAATGAGGAAAAAACAATATACTATTTATGAAATCATATATAAACATAAAACTTGTAAATATTGATATTTTCAATAGATTTTGTATTTTATTTTTATTGCATCGGTGTTTTTATTGCTACCAAGTGTAAGAAGGTCCTTTGTGGTTTATTTCTTCCCTTGAAAACAAAAGGACAAGCGTCAGAGATTTCTTGTGGTTTATTTCCTTTCTTTTGTTTATGGAAATTTCTTCATCTATGTTTTCTTCTCTGGCAAAACGACAGGGGTCGGAGAAATCGATAACATCCCTCGAAATGAAAATCAAAAATCGAAATCCCTCTACTATCAGAGCTTCATCATCACTACGAACCAGGAACTATTGCTCTTTGTCATCGCTATTTTGGATTTTGATTCTAGTTTTTTTCTCTTTCTGTTTTGAAAAAATCCAACAGAAGTAGAAATCGGTTTGATTTTGGTGTTTGATAAGCAGAAATCAGAAGCAAGGCAAGCAGAAATTGGAAGCAAGAGTAATTGGTCGAGAGCATCATAAGCAGAAATCGCAAGCAAGCAGTAATCAGTTTGATTTTGGTGTTTGATAAACATAAATCAGAAGCAAGCAAGCAGAATTCGGAAGCAAGTAAGTAATCAATCGATGATGAAACTGGAAGCATCATGAGGGAATCTGTCACTTACACATTTTTAGACGGAATGGATTTCAATTCCATCAGTTTTAGGAAGGAATGGTGAAATCTTCAAATGATGGAATCTTTCGAATTCAATTTTCATTCCATGGGTAACCAAACGTTGGAATGGAATTTGGTCAACGGAATTGACCATTCCAATTCCCCCAAATTCTAACTGATTCCGACGAACCAAACGCCCCCTAAGGGTCTGTCTACCAAACAATTACCCGGTAAGTTCCTACTGTATCACTTGCCTTACCGGATTAACATGTCAAGGATTGAGAATCTTATCCGGTAAGAACGATGACAATAAGTGACAGTGATGACTCTTATCCGATTAGCACTCATCGAATAAATTGTTACATATAATGTCATTTTGTTAGTTTTGATAACATAAAATTTTAATCGGTAAAACAAATGATAGTGTTGAATTTTATTAAGCATTTAGGTAAACGACCTCTAAGTATTAAGTTATTAATTAATAACCAAGGGACCGTTTATCAAACACTTACCCGGTAAGTGCTTACCGGTAAAATTTAACACTGTCATTTACTTATCGGGTAAGATTTTAGTCCACCAAAACGACATCGTATGCAACAATTTACCCGGTAAGCGCTTACCGTGGTAAGAGTCGTCGCCCCTCACGTACCGAATAAGATTCTTGGTCCTCACCATATTCATCCGGTGAAGTAATGTTACTTGATAAGCCTTTACCTGGGTAAGCGTTTGGTAAACGGTCCCTAAAAAATGGTTTTATATATATTGGATTGGGTTCACATGAGACCAAAGGTTTTTCGTGAGACCCATAAGACCAATTTATGTTCATTGATCAACTTTATAAGCTAATGATCTAATGATCTAAAGTTGCACGATGGTAATTTTGTAATTATTGAGAAGTCTCGTGGCAATTTTATGATTATGAATATTCAGATTGTAGATCTAATCCAAAGGTTGAGAATTGGTCTTACAAGTCTCACGAAAAACATTTAATCTCACATGATCCCAAGTCTATATATATTAATCCTAATATTCCCTTATTTATATAAATTGCATTTCTGAACGTGTCTAAATTAGAATAAATTAATTAGATATATAATTTAATATTTATTAACAAATAATATCCACACCTTCCATTTGGGCTCCAAGAACCTCACACGAAATTCAGCTGCATCCCCACCCCACCACCTATATATACACCTTTCACTCTTTCTTCCACTCCCATCTCTCTCCCCCTTCCTCTTTTCATTTGACTTCAATTTAACAATGGCGGCTGCTTTTGATGAAGTTTCAGCTCTTTATTTTATCAGACGCCACCTGCTAGACGAAAATGAAACCCCTAATTGCGTTGGTTTGACTTCTCACACATCAATTTCTGCTTCTGATCTCTCAGTTTCTGATTATCTTCACTCTGAAGAAGAAACCACATCTGATTTCTCAATTCATTTCACCGTACCGGAATCGGTCGATACTATATCTGGAAAATCGTATCTGGAGGAAACATATTGTGTTGAGGAGGTGAAGGTGCATTACAGAGGAGTACGACGGAGGCCGTGGGGAAAGTACGCGGCGGAGATCCGAGATCCGAAGCGTAACGGTGCTAGGGTTTGGTTGGGGACGTTTGATGTTGCTATCGAAGCTGCAAAGGCATACGACAGAGCGGCATTCGAAATGCGAGGGAGCAAAGCGATTCTTAATTTTCCTCTGGAGATTGGGAACTCAAAGGCGGAGTCAAGCACAACAACCACAAGTGAAATCAATGGCTGCCTGAAAAGGAGGAGAGATGTGGATGAGATGGTGGTGATGGTAAAGAAAGAGAGGATAACGGAGAATGTTGATCTGCCGTCGACGCCATCGAGTTGGATGGCGGTTTGGGATGAGGATTGGCGAGGTGCCCATCCATTGTCACCGATGTCTCGATTAATGGTGATTTGAGAACAGAAATTGGTTCGATTCCATCTGTACTGTACATAAATCTCCATACTCAATGATCATATCTTCATTAGTTGATTTGGTTTGTTGATTATAGGCTGTTTGGCAATTGCTGAATGGTTTGGTCCAGAATGATTAAGTGATTAGAATGATTAAGAGACTCTAATGATATAGTACACAATGAAATATAATTGTTTGGTAATTGTATACAATGAAATTAGGACTCTTAATGGTTAAGAGAGATACATGATACAAAATTATTCAGAGAGTTTTAAAACCATTAAGAGACAAACCTTTTTTTTGGCAAATAAGATTCACCTTTTAACGATTTAAAGGTTGCCTCTTAATAAAACTATTAAGAGGTAAACAAACAACCTCTTTAGTGTCATTTTCGTCCTAGATCTTTAAAATTTCTTCTTTTGCCCTTGTGGTGTTAGTGGAAGGAATCAATTCTGAGCGTTTTTGCTAACCATAGTGGATAAGTGGTTTTTGAACCGTATGAACAAAAAAGTGGGAAAACGAAAAGGTTAGAGACAAAAATGCATCGTCCCAAGCCCAAAGCAGAAGAGTGACCATAACCTCCAAATTTAACACCCATGCTGTAAGTTATTGGTAATTAATAACTTTGTGCCTATAAAGTATAAAGAACTCACGAATCTACTTTTCTATTCATGTGAAACATACTGTTACAAAAATGCGATTTATTTATTAATATAATATTGTAATATATATGACGTTAGTTTCTTAAGATAAATGGAAAAAGATCGAAACGCCCCTCATTTTTAACGAATGAAAATTAATGTCCATTAAAGAAAGGGACTAATTTTGAGCATTTTTACAAACCACAAGGGTAAAAGGTAGTTTTTAAATAGTAGGGACAAAAACCAGGGAAACGGAAAAACACAAGGGCCATAAATTTAATTTACCCAATAAAATACATTGCATTTTCCTTGAACTTTAAATTATATACGAAGTTATATATCGTAACCTTCTAGGTCCATGTATTTGTTTCTACTATCAGCTTTTTGGTTTCTGAATTTCATTTATTATAATGGTGGTTAGTATGGTTAATTTATCCAGTAAATGCTTACCAGTAAAATTCAATACTATCACTTACTTATTAGATAAGATTTTAGTCTACTAAAACGACATTTTATGTAACAATTTACCCGATAAACGCTAACCATGGTAAAAAGTCGTCTCACTCACTTACCGGGTAAGACTCTAGGTCCTTGCCTTGCTCTTACCACGTAAATTCTTGGTCCTTACAATATTCATCCGGTAACAAAATGTGATTTGGTAAACGCTTACCCGTATAATTGTCTGACTCATTTTTTAATTCTTTTCTTGTTTTATGTTATTAGTAAATTATCTTTCTTAGTTCATTGATGACCCCACCACCACCTTGTCGACCCCATCCTTCTTGAAGAGCTATCATCCTATGCAGTGGTGGATTCATGTTTTTTGTTCAGTAGGGTCACCTTTAAGGTAGGCTAAAGATCCATAAAATCGTCCGATGTGTCTTTAACCTAATTACAACGTTTCGAGGGATTTTTAAAGTTTTTTGGTTGATTTCGAGAGATTTTTTAGTGTTTTTGTCGATTTCAAATAACTTTTTTTAGTTTTTTTTTTTATTGATTATACTTAATATTCACATTTGAATACGACATAACTACATATGAGTACATAGCAATACGAACTTTAAAGACCCACTTAAGAAAATTATAAGAAATATTACAAAAATATGAGCATCAAATTAAAAAGAATAAAATTGTTTGATTTTTATATAATTAGAATATTTAGTTTTATTTTTTATTTTAAAAAGAATGAAATTAATCTATTTTAGTTGTATAAGAAAATTTTATTAAATGGTAGAGTAAATTATTGATTTCGACCATGTCGTATGGTCCTTGAACTTTATTTTTTACCAAAAAAATCTTCAAGATTTGCATTTTGTTCTGGAATTGGTTCCTAGCCTTAACGTTCGACAATTATAACTGTTAACTACCTAGGTAAATTGGTCAGTTTGATTTTTTCATATTTTATAATGTCATTTTTCTTTTTCATTTATACTTTCCAGGGTTGCTAACGTTCTCCTTGAGAGCGTTGCTTGGTCATTGAACTAGTAGTCGTGCATCTCCGATCGAGACCCCCACCCCATGTATATATCACTTAGAAAAGGTCATAGGGGCGCTATTTGAGAAACATAGAGATGGTGACGCAATCAGAGAAGCAGTTGCAGATGTAGCCGGATGGTAATGCTTCTACTAATGTTTCTAATGACCCTGAACTCTTAGTCATAGGGGCGTTATTTGAAAAACATAAAGATGGTAATGCTTGTATTAATGTTTCTAATGGCTCAGTTGTGACATGGGTGAATTAGTTTTTTTTTTTCCCACATGCAATGTTAAGTATTAAAGACAAATGTCTAAAATATCCCTCATTTAACTGGTGGAGACAATAGAGTTAAGAATCAAATCCAAAACAAAACGCAAATCTTGAAGGGGGTTTTTTGTAGTAAAATAAAGTTGAAGGACCAAACCCGTAATTTCTAAACGAACTATAGAGACCAAATCCATATTTTACTCTAAACATAAATATAACAAACGTCAAACTATAGAACATGTGATGCGGCTTAATGTGTTTGTCCTCTTTGACAACTAATACAATGTTATTATGCATAGAAATAACCAAATCGATCAAACCTATGATGAGAACGACTACATAGTACGACCATCTAAGCATCAGGTACGATCTTAAAAGTTGTTGTAAAGTACACATAGTTGTCTTTATTAATATGACATGAACAAGTTCCCGTTTTACGGTCACACCAATATTTTATTTTTCCATTTACAATGACATTTCAATTTATTCGATCTAATATAGAACTAAAGAAAGATTATACAAACACAGTATTTACACACATCATGAGTGAAATTTCGTTAAATTCAACACCTTCGAACTTACAGAGTTTGGTTTTTTACGGCAGAATCTACTTTTTGTAGGCAGCCAATAATCATTAAAATAAAATGCAAGTAAACCCAATTGTTAATTTCACATGATCATATTATTATTTTTGAAAGAATTAAAAACCGAATATAACGAAAAAAGAATCTTCAAACTCGATTTCGGGGCTCCAGATCAGAAAATCATAGGCAGATTGTCATTACATCTGGCATGTAGAAAGCTTTCCATCCATATCTTGTGGACCTCATAACTTCCGACAGATCAAAAGTTATGATCATTTTAAGTTGGGCTTATTTTCAAGTTGTTCCCGTAAAAAAAAAACAATCAAAGTTTAAATCTATTCATAAAAAAAATGAAATGTTATGGTTACAATTATCATGTAAATACTTTGGATAAAAAAATCTCATGAGCCAAAATCATAATAATAATCATGATTATGGTTAACCAGAAGGGTGGTACCTGATTGGTTAGAGCTTCGAACTATCTGTAAAATGCGGTGACTTCGGACTATCTGCAAAATGCGGTGACTTCGGACTATCTGTAAAACAGGTGGTCGCCCTAAGATTAGTGGGCTAGCATAGCGGGTTGTATATCCAAGTTAATAAAAAAAAATCATGATTATGGCCGTACAAAATGGGTGGGTAAGAAGTGAATATTCTCTTATGAATGCCGTTAAGAAGTGGCGCCAAAAAGTATCCTGCAAATTTCAGTTGGGGAACAAAGGAAAGCCATCTGTGTGTTGTGGTGGCGGATCCTTCAAGAACTCCTTTCAAAAACCAAATTTTATTCAAAGACAATCYCRATTTCCTCAATTTCTCCTCTTTGGATTCCCTTTCTCTTCTGTCTCATTGTGTTCTCCAATTGTTGTGATCGATGCAATGTCTCTATCTGTCTTCTCCCCACTCCTATATATCTTTCGAAATTCTCAGATCGTAATCCTTCCACCAAGTTACTCGTTTATCTCCAACTGGGTTCCTTTCCTCTTTGTCAGGATCAGTCGACRAGGGGAAATAGGAGGCTTTGTTTCTTTTTGTTGTCGGAGCTTGTTCTTAAGCTTCAAGAACAGGTGAACACTACTTGTTGGATGTTTTGTCTCCGTCAATTTTTTTTTCAGATTCATTAGAGGGTTCAATCTTTAAGATTTTGTTTGCTATGCTTTGAAGCCAAGTGCTGGTATAGGTGTATACAGAATACAAATAGTCTATATCTACTTATAATGGTCCTAGTTAATTTTTTTTCATTGTTGGTTGCATTTATCTTAAATTTCCCTGAAGAAAACATGGTTATTGCCTCGTCAATATACAGAAGTGAAAACATGGTTATTGCCTCGTCAATATACAGAAGTGAATTTTCCTGTGAACCCATCTCTCTTTGAAAACTCTTCCACAACATAGAAGTGAATCGACTGTCTCGATAAAAAATTATTGATAATGGAACACCATGACGTATCACTACCTCGTCAATATACAGTTTTGTCAACCTATCCATTGAATACGATTTTTTCATTGGTAGGAAGTGAGAAGACTTGGACAACCGATCCACAATAACCCACATGGCATCATAACCTCCCAGTGTTCTTGGTAATTTGGTTATAAAATCCATTATAACCTGATCCCATTTCCAGATCGAAATTTCTAAAGACTGTAACTTACCATACGGACGCTGATGTTCTATCTTCACTTGTAAACATGTCATACATTGCTCAATAGATCGGAATTTCTAAACTGTTTTTGAACGATAAAGTTGGACTTAGACATATTTTGCATGTGTTGAGCGCTAATCTACTTTCATCACCCAAGCCATTGCCTGATAACCTTGATTAATCTTCTAAGTCATGAGCATGATGTTGTAAATCGCTCAAAGTGTTAAGCGATAAAAGTGTTCATCTCCCAATATACCAAGCGATATCCTTGTTTACACTTCGAAGTGTACATCGCTCATATATCAAACGATACCTGTTTGTCCGATATTCTTGTTGAGCGATAACCCTCTACATGGATTCCTTGGTGGGCGATAATCCCAAATAAGCAGTTTGTCTTGTTACTCAAATATCATGAGCGATAAAGCTGTCCAATATACTTGTAATTCNCCCCCCCAAACAACCAAAATCCCTGCTTCTCTGTAGATCACCACCGAAATTGCCATTCAAGTAGCATAATTTTGGTTCCATGCTATGGTCGATAGTTCCAACAACCTGCAAATACGAGCATGCTGGGCAGATAGTTATCCCTTGGACCTGTCTTTTGTCTGAGAATTAGTAAACACACTACGATAGTAGGGCGATATATGTGTAAAGTGGTGAAATTGATCCAATTTGTCCCTTATTTTTACTATTTCTTGGTTATGATATGTGTGTCTTGTATCTCTCATTTTTCCTGAAAATAAACGTTGCTAGTAAGATCCGAGTCCAGAGCTTTTTGGTCCTAGGGTGTCTCTTTGGTCCTATGTTTGTAGTCATAAACTAAAGAATTTATATCCCCGAAAAATGTAAACTAAGAATGATTAGTATATTTCTCCCTCTCTTTTACAGAATCTTTTGGCTTTGCTACTGCCAGGAACTGTGACATTGCCCCATATCCAAATCAAGTACTATGAACAGTCAATATGTGGCTTAAAAACACAATGAAATAGCTGTGCCATGACATAAAGAATTTGGGTTACTAATAAATGGCATAAAGTGATTTTGAATCCATTTTCTGATATGCAGACTCTTTAGCAATTAAGGATCGTGATTGAAGCATAAAAGGGGTTACCATGGAAGATGACAAGGCAGTTGCTCTCGAGGCAATCAACAAAGAAGCTGTTGACTTGGTATAGTTTCTTAATTCATATTGAATCCTTATAAGTACCTCACCGTAGCAACTGACAAGTCCTGATGACTGATATTATACCAGATAAACGGGTTTCAGATAAATGTTTATTTGTAAATCAAGAAAGAAATCGACAGACATATATTTAGAAAGAGTGATATTGGCGTATTATGGAAACGATCTTGGAATTCTATAAGGGGGAGTTTGGTTTGATGGAATGATTTTGAGAGATTTGGGTTTCATGGAAGGATTTGGAATTGGAGGGATTTGGATTTGGAAAAAATTGGAATCTTTGGTGTGTTTGGTTTGTAGAATTTGGAATGGAGTTAAATTCCAATATTTATAAAAACATATTATAAACAATTATAAAAATAATTAAATTACCTTTTTATTGATTGATTACTACAAAACAAATGTTTTTAACATATTTTAAAACATTATTACATACAAATCTTACGAAATCTAATAAAAGTATGCCAACCACCCCATGTGCTCTCAAAATCCTATGTTTATGGGATTTCAAATCCATAGAATCCTTTGAACCATATATGAGATTGGAATGGAATTCAGTTCCAAATCCAATCCAATCCCGCAAACTAAACGGACCTAAGGGAACAGTAACAAAATAACTAATAAGCATTCACAGACTAATTACGGAACTTGTTTATCTTGATGGTAACTTACTTTTTGGTTCTATAGAATTCTATGTTTTATATATATGGAACACACACATACACAGATATACAAAAAATTCCATAGAACTAAAAAGTAATTTGGTTTTAGATAATGTTTGGCCATCTTTCAGCTGGATTGGCTGGCTCATCGTTTGATACATCCTAATTTGTCTGACAAAAAGAAGTTCCTTTTTGGCAGGAAAACATACCAGTGGAAGAAGTTTTCGAAAAGTTAAAATGCACAAAAGAAGGACTTAGTTCTGATGAGGTTCAAAAGCGTTTGAATATGTTTGGCTACAATAAGTTGGAAGAGAAAAAGGTATGGTTGTTATTTGGTTCACCATATTCTTGTTATCATCCCATGACATATGCATGTAATAATTTGTTTTTCAACAATTTGACCATGAATTATTATCGTGCAATTTGCAGGAGAATAAAATACTCAAGTTTTTGGGCTTCATGTGGAATCCTCTTTCTTGGGTGATGGAAGCAGCAGCACTCATGGCTATCGCTATGGCAAGAGGAGGGGTTAGTCCATATGTGTATCTTATTTAAAGAGTATGCATGTTTGACAAATATGTTCTAGCATACAAAACTATATATTTTTCTGATTCTTGCACTCGGAATCTCTTGCTTCCAGGACCAGCCTCCTGACTACCATGATTTTGGCGGCATATTGGTACTTCTGCTTATTAACTCAACCATAAGTTTCGTAGAGGAGAATAATGCCGGAAACGCAGCTTCAGCCCTCATGGCTCGTTTGGCTCCAAAAGCTAAGGTATGCCTTATAATGTGAACAAAACGAAAACCAAGAAAAGCCCAAATGGAAGTTGATTAGTTCCATCTATATAGCATTAACTTCTGTCTGTCAGCTAATTGGCAATCATGTAATGTTATTTTGACCAAATGTAATTGACCTCACTAGATTTTACGAGATGGGAAATGGAAAGAAGAGGATGCATGTGTGCTGGTACCTGGAGACATCATCAGTATTAAGCTAGGAGACATTATTCCTGCTGATGCACGTCTGCTTCAAGGAGATCCTTTAAAGATTGATCAAGTAAGAACATTAAGTTATTTATTTTTTGAACTGTTCCAAATAACAAGATCTGCATTTAACACACAGATTGTGTATATAATTACAACTTGAAAACACTTGCTGTAACTTCTTGGTGGTTAATAACATCATAATGTTGATAATATTATTAAACCAGAGTGGCTGCTTCTATGAGTAACTGTTTTAACAGTTAAATATAAGATATGTAAATGTTAAATCAGTTATTCAATCTTCATCTCCAAGCCATGTTTAGCATTGATAATGTCCATGGATTTTTGTGTCTAGAAGTTGCATATAAGCCCATCTAGGGCCTTGCAAACTAGGAATATATTGCTTTAATAGCCTTTGGAGCAGTAATTGGTGGTCTACTTTTTCAGTCGGCTCTTACAGGCGAATCTCTACCGGTATCCAAGAATCCAGGTGATGGGGTATACTCAGGTTCGACATGTAAACAAGGTGAAATCGAGGCAGTTGTCATTGCTACAGGAGTCCATACCTTTTTTGGAAAGGCAGCTCATCTTGTGGACAATACTACACATATTGGGCACTTTCAGCAGGTTTGTTTATAATGATTTGACTCGGCTCATCTTGTGGACAATACTAAAAACCTTGATGCTCATATGTCGGTTCTGAACCAGATTGAATATAGAATATCAAGGACAGGTTAACCTGTGATATATATTGCAATGATGTATCCGACTAAACTCATTAAGAGCTATCTATGTTTCAAGAAAATAAATGGGATATAATGATTTTTCACCATTACTGGTTTCTTTCTAATGTTTCTAATGGACACAGGTTTTGACTGCAATTGGGAACTTCTGCATTTGCTCAATCGCCATAGGCATGTTTATTGAGTTGATCGTCATATATGCTCTTCAACAGAGGAGCTATCGTCAAGGCATTGATAACCTTCTCGTGATACTTATTGGTGGTATCCCAATTGCAATGCCAACAGTTCTATCTGTCACAATGGCAATTGGTTCCCATCGGTTATCTCAACAGGTTTGTGAGCCTGTTACTACTAATGTTATATTTTCATTCTCCATAGCTAGGATTGGGTGCTCTAGCTATTCTAGTGGTTAGTAGTAACACATCACGATATTTGATGCAGGGTGCCATAACAAAGAGAATGACAGCCATCGAAGAGATGGCGGGAATGGATGTGTTGTGTAGTGATAAAACTGGCACCCTAACTCTCAACAAACTTTCGGTGGACAAAAATTTGATTGAGGTAATTCTTTTGCATTGGTTTTGTCTTAAGTTAACAAAACTTCACATAACGTTGCATTTTTCTAAATTTTTACCTTTGTGGGGTTCGTTTTTGTTGTATTATGCGATCATATCTATACAATCTACTATAAAAGGTAAAGTCAAAGTAATGCTATATCAATGCCAGGATCCCTTGATAGTTTAGAAGAAACCGCATTATGTAACCTTTAGGGCCAGCTCAACTGACACATAAAGGCCTTGGTGCTCCTCTTCCATAACTCACCGGTGAGAGTCTCCTTATGGCCACTAGGGATTTTCCTGGTTGTTGTCCATGGAATTAGTCGAGTTGCTTAGCAGAAACACCAATTATTATGTTCTATCCATATTCATGATTAATTCATGCAGGTATTTGCCACTGGTGTTGACAAAGACACAGTTGTTTTAATGGCTGCTCGAGCATCAAGATTGGAAAACCAGGACGCCATCGATACTGCTATAGTGTCAATGCTGGCTGATCCTAAGGAGGTATTATCTCTTTATATTTGATTAGGTTAAAACAATTAAAAGAACATGAAGGGTGATACGTCTCCTCCCTTTCTTACTACCGTCATCCACAATTTGAATAATCTTGAAGCTTGAATAGCATTTACGTCATAACAATACCATTTTATGGAAGTTGCTACTCCTGAATATTGCAAATCTATTTTGTTGGCTTTCATAAGGCACGATATGGAATTACAGAAGTGCATTTCCTTCCATTTAATCCCACTGATAAGAGGACAGCTCTGACATATATTGATGGTGCCGGAAAGATGCATAGAGTGAGCAAAGGTGCACCAGAGCAGGTAAGCATGCACTTCTCTAATGTTGAAACTCATTTAAAACCCAAAAAATAAAGCTAATTGTACTATATATTGGGTAGTACTATGGGGCAATGATGCATCTGTAGTGCATCCAAGTAGTCCACTACAAATTCTAACTCTTTTGTCATTTCCTGTGAACTATTAGATTTTGAATCTGGCAAAGAACAAATCTGAGATTGAAAATAGGGTACACACAGTTATTGATAAATTTGCTGAACGTGGACTTCGATCTCTTGGAGTAGCTCGCCAGGTAACAACTAGCCGCTTTTAGACCTTTTATTCTCTTTATTTGATAATGACTTCTTGGTTGAATGCTTCTCTTTTCCATACAGGAAGTACCTGCAAATAGCAAAGATAGTCCTGGTGGTCCCTGGGAATTTGTAGGTCTTCTTCCTCTTTTCGACCCACCTCGTCATGACAGTGCTGAGACAATTAGAAGAGCTTTAGACCTTGGAGTGAGTGTTAAGATGATCACGGGTATGTTTATAAATCCTGCATGTGTATCTTATTTGTTAGAGTCCCACATCAGCTAGATTTGAACCATTTCTCCTTGGAACCTCCCTTCTCTCCTCAAGGGATGTTTTGGAGAGTAATCTAATGGGTTCTACATACTCTCACATGGTATCAGAGCCATGTCTGCCACTCTAGTTGACACTCTGGGCTAATCTGTACTTGTCTAACCCCTCACTTGTCTCTGGGACAATCTCGTGCCCGTCTAGGTTTCACATATTCTCATATTATGCATTTATCGATGAGTTGTGGGGTGGGTGAGGTGGGAGAGAAGACATCTTGCAGACTTGGTATAACTTTGTCATGAAAAAAATTTAGGTGACCAATTGGCCATTGCTAAGGAGACCGGGAGACGGCTAGGAATGGGAGTTAATATGTACCCTTCATCATCCTTGCTTGGTGGTCATAAGGATCAGCTAGTTGCAGCTCTACCAGTTGATGAACTCATTGAGAAAGCCGATGGTTTTGCTGGTGTTTTTCCAGGTAATTAACCATGTTATAGCTAGAAATTCTGAAAATAACAAAATTTAGCCAGCCATAGAGTATGAAATGTACCAATATTCCAATCTAAGCTGTTTCTAACTCCCTAATTCCTCCATAGAGCACAAGTATGAGATTGTGAAGATTCTGCAAAGTAAAAAGCACATTTGTGGAATGACTGGTGATGGTGTGAATGATGCACCTGCATTAAAGATCGCCGACATTGGAATTGCTGTGGACGATGCCACTGATGCAGCTCGAAGTGCTTCTGACATTGTTCTGACCGAACCCGGCCTCAGTGTCATCATTAGTGCAGTGTTAACAAGCCGTGCCATCTTCCAGAGGATGAAAAACTACACTGTAAGTAGCCTTTCCTCTTCTATCCTTTAGCATTCGTTTGGTTATTCACTATCGCTTTCTTAGATTCATTCAAAAAACTTTCCCTTCTTTTCTCCAGATATACGCCGTTTCAATCACTATACGTATTGTGGTAAGTGTAACACTTGTTAACTCAAAATTTTCAAATTATATCGATGCCCTCATTAACTTAATTTTGGCAACTTAATAGCAACTATAAGATTGGAGTCATCATTTTAATTGGTAATTTGGTTTTGTTGCAGTTGGGGTTTATGTTGCTGACTGCCTTTTACGAATTCAATTTCCCTCCTCTTCTTGTTCTTGTCATAGCTATTCTGAATGATGGTATGATTGATTAAGATGCAACTATTTTCAAATCCTGTTATTCATCTACCAAATCAACTTTTAACCCAAGATGTGTGCAGGTACCATCATGACCATTTCTAAAGATAGAGTGAAGCCATCTCCCAGCCCAGATAGCTGGAAGCTCAGTGAAATTTTCGCAACTGGAGTCGTTATAGGCACTTACCTTGCGCTAATGACCGTCATCTTCTTCCATTTGGCTAGTCGAACCAGTTTTTTTGCGGTAAAACCTATCTTTTCCATGTTCCAATAGTACTCCCTCCGTCCCAAAAATTAATGTCTAAAATGAAAAAGGCACACAGTTTTAGAAAAACGTAATTTTTACATTTTTTAATTAACTAAATCACATGTTTACTCTTAATAATACTGGGAGTAATGAATTTTTCTGTCTCATAATCAAAGATAGAACTGAAAACTTACTTCTGAAAGTAAAAACTTATTATGGGACAAACTAAAATAGAAATATAAACCATTATTTTGGGACAGGGAGTATAAACTTTAAGGAAAGCTCTAGTTCTAACTCTCTTTTTACTCTATTTCTCCTCAGAATACCTTTCATGTGGATGACTTCAATAAGCACGAAGGCCTTTTCACGGAAGACGTTTTGAACGCAAAGCTAGCATCAGCCGTATACCTTCAGGTCAGCACGATCAGCCAGGCCTTAATATTTGTCACACGATCAAGGGGTTGGTCTTTCATGGAACGGCCAGGTCTTCTGTTGGTTGCTGCCTTCATTCTAGCTCAACTGGTAAGCAGCCTATTTCTTTCAAGAACTTGATATGGTTCCCCTTCGATTCACTTATAGTTCTTATGCTTACTTTTGAAAATATCGTTGCAATATCATTTTCAGTTCGCCACCATTATGTCTGCAAAGTTGACATGGGATTTCGCTAAGATTGGCGAGATTGGCTGGGGTTGGACTGGCATTGTATGGTTGTATAACATCTTAAGCTACATGCTGCTTGACCCTATCAAATTCGCGGTCAGATATGCACTTAGCGGGAGAGCATGGGGACATGTTATCAACCGTAAGGTAAGACAATAGTAGAATGTACGCATACATGTCCTCTATTTAATGTGCTAATCTATTTCTACATTGTCAGACGGCCTTCACCACGCAAAAGGACTTTGGTAGGGAAGCACGTGAAGCAGCATGGGCAACCGAACAACGAACACTTCATGGTCTTACATCTGAAGCCAAGATTTTTGCCGAAAACTACACATTCAGAGACATAAACATGATGGCAGAAGAAGCAAAGCGTCGTGCAGAGATTGCAAGGTCAATATTATCCTTTTTCTCTTTGACATTTTCGATATCAAGGAACCAACTTTTGTTCCTTAAACCCTTAACCCTAAACCCTAAACCTTAAACAATTTCTTCGTACTGCTTTTGTGTCAAAGGCATATATCTAAAGAAGATTGTGCATACAAAACCAACTTGATCTCTAACATTCTCCATTTTTGCCCTACAGATTAAGGGAAATTCATACTCTAAAGGGTAAAGTAGAGTCTTTCGCGAAGCTAAGAGGATTAGATATCGATGTCAACCCACATTACACCGTCTGATTAATGGCCCGGCTGCAAATTTAACTTCATGGAAGTTATTGTAATTCTTCTGCTCGAATTTGATCGTGTGAAGCTCACTCGGATGCACCAAATCACTAATAAAAAACAACTTTCTTTTTTCTTTTATAAGACCACTTGTACTATTGTTCTTGCTGCTAAAGAATTATGTTCTTTGTGTAAGAGTTATGTATCATTTACGAATGCAAGTTCCGTCACAAGGTGGTTCAACGATTTGCCTACATTTGTAACTGGTTTCTTATAATCTCATCATTCACACTTTTCACAAGCCGGTGATCTTCACGGAATCAACTCCTCTACATTTTGGGATAGAGGCCAGATCTGTGCACATTACCCACCTCTAGGTGGGACATGCTGTGTCAGATTTGGTTTATTCCAGTAATACATTCTTAATAGAGTATCCGTCGATTTGCTTCTGGTTATAAAGAAGAAAACCTGATAGAAAAAAACATTATATGCGAAATGGGCCTTAAGTTTCTTATGGAATTTGGATCATCAGTTAGTTGTTTTTCAATATACATTCGGAATCGAGCTTCATATCCGACACAACCGTGGTTCGAGCCGACTCAGAGTGAATGCATAAAATGGTTTGTTGAACTCATGGTTAAAGGGACGTTTGTTTACCTTTTAATAGTTCCATTAAGAGGCAGTATCTGAATCGTTAAGAGCTAAATGTTTGGCAAAAAAAAAAAAGTCTATCCTCTTAATTGTTAAAGAAAGAGAATCGAAAATGTTTTTAAAAAAATTCCATTGCCGGGACTTGAACCCGGGTCTCTCGGGTGAGAGCCGAGTATCCTAACCAACTAGACTACAACGGATTGGTGATATAAGTTTTCCAGATATTATTTATTAACATATTAAAATAGAAAAAAAAAACACTAAATAATATATTTATTTATGTAATTTTTATTATATTACCTAATTTAATTAATTTAATATTACGTCCGAATTTTGGCTATATCGTTTCACTAATAGAAATAATATGTGTGTTATGTATATGCTCAATAGTAAATTGTTTGAATCATAAATTGCTACCATCATATGAAACTATTATGTTTGCTACCTTAAAAAAACGAATATTTGTTTCTACTCATGACTTAGGGGTTGTTTATTCGAATGCTTATCCAGTAAGTGTTTACCTATAAGAGTCAACACTATAATTTATTTTGGGGAGTAAGATTTTAATACATCAAAACGCATTGAATGCAACAATTTACCAGGTAAGTGCTTACCTGGATAAGAGTTGTAATATTCACTTATCAGGTAAGAATCTCCATCCTTCTCATCGCTCTTACCCAGTAAGATTCTTGGCCCTTGTCATGTTCATCCGATAAGAAAATTTATTCGGTAAGCATTTACCAAGTAAGCGTTTAGTAAACGGCCCCTTACACAAAATCACTATCGATAAATTGCATTGTTTTACTCATTGGGTTCTTACTGACCATCTATCAAACGGTAATCGATAATTAGAGTCACTTGTCAAATAAATATAATAAGGAACGATAATTTTATCTGATAAGAGGTATGATAATAACCGAAAATCTTACCGGGTAAACAGCGGCAGATTTATGCATAAGAGTTGGGGCCGATTGACCTTGACCCCATGCATATTTTTTTTTATATTATAAATTTTATTTCTTATAAATATATCTCTACTTTGGACCCCCAAAGATTTATGCTACTACACGTAAGTGAAGATGGTGACTTTTACTAGTTAGTGTTTAACGAGTAAGAGATGCTTACCAACAATCTTATTATCTCGTTTTAATGACCGAAAATCTTATTCAATAAGATAAGTGATAGTGATTATTCTTACCCAGTAAGGATTTACCTGTTTACAGGTGCACAAGGACTCGGTCTTAACCGATCCTAAAAAGACCGATCATTTTTTAACCAAAAAAATACTGGGTCATGCCTTAACCGGTCCTTTGGGAAAAAAAATTAGAACCAAATTCAAAACGGCGGTCTTTAATCGGTTGTAACCAGTCGTTTTAAGTTTTTAAAAGAAAAAAAGTATTTTTGAGAAAACAAATACATTAATAAAAGAATGACGTGGAAATTTATTTTAAAAATACCTCGAATTTTCATTTAATTGCAAGATAATTAAAAAATAAGCTATAAAATTATTTAAATTATAACATTATAAACTAATTGATTCTTCTGATATTTTCGTTTTTCAATATTTTTTTGCATCTTCGGTTTGAATATTTTTTGTCTGTCGTATTGAATAATTTTTCAATGGTTAATTTGAATCATGTTTAGATCTAAGCACATCTAGTAATTTTTTCTAATAAACCCTCAATTGCATTTGAGTTAAATTTTAGGTTTAAAGTCGAGTCACACGAGAAATATTTTAGAATATTTTATAAAATTTTCTTATATTAATTTCACTATTAATGACCATAAGTTATTGTTTTCATATTTTTAGTCATTATAATTTATCGGGGTAAAACCGTAAAAGCAAACAGGTCTTGATTGGGCTTTTTTGGGCCTTTACAGATATTTCTGGTTTTGACCTGACTTTTTCGAGCTTTAATTAGGTCGTAGTCAAACCGCTTTTCGAGACAGACTGGTCTCAGAGTCAAAACAGACTTTCACCTATAACGCTCCTTTAGGTCGGGCCTTTTTTAATCAGTCTTTAGTCTTTACCGATCCACAATGAGTTAACCAGTCCTTTAATTACGAAATTTGTTTACTGTTGGTAAACCCTAAGTCTTAAGTTTAACATACGGTAATTGTTGTATAACAACTTTTTAGGCTCATATTCACTAGCCTTCGATCAAGGGTGTTATATTACCACAGCTAAAAACACACCAATGTATGTATTTGTTCTTTTTTTTTTTTATTAACCTAGACATCTAACCCGGTATGCGAGCCAACTAATATCAGGATGACTACCTGCACCCGGAGTCACCGCATTTGAACCTCCATGGTCACAAGGAGATTTTTGTTCCTTCTCAGATTCAAACCTGAGACCTCCAACCACTTTTGACCTTTGAATCTCAAACTCAAACCAATCGAACACCACCCTTATGGTTTTATGTGTGTATTTGTTTTAGGACTCAACGTTAACGTTTTTACTTTATTTCTTTTAACTCTAAAAACGATATAAAGTAGTGATATCTTTGCGACTGCTTATTGACACATCAACAATATGTTCTCATATTACCTTTTCTATTAAAACATTCACTAAAACCAAAGGGATAATTAATATACGGTTACCGTCGGTCTTATCGTTAAACTTATTATACTCCTTATATATTAAAAAAATGTGACATAATACATGTTTCTTGTTCTAGTATCCTCTTTGCTCATACCAAAAATTGGTATAACTAATAATAACCAAGGGGAACGGTTAAATAAGAAAGGCAACAACGTTTAGAACGTAAAAATAATGATTCATAGGTGAATCAATTATTTTTAAGATGTATATATAAATTCATATTCTCTTACCTTACTAATTATTCACATATGAAGAAGCATATGTAAAGACACTGAAGTTAGGCCTCATTTACCAATAATTTATATATAACTCATTTATTGTTATGTTCTTTAATTACATGTTTTAGCCAAAGATATGTTATTTTAAACATCAAATGTTTTTTTATTCAAATAATTTGATTACAAATCATTGTAAATTAGGAAATTGAATGTTTCGTTCTACGTTTTGATTTTAAGGTTAAACATATGCTTAGATAGAACTAAATAGGGTTGGTTGGTTAATGATGACGACGTTTTTGTTTTCTTTATCGTTTTGCCTTTTAGAAATTCTAATGATATTTTAAAAAAAAGTATACAATAAACTAAAACAATGGCCAGCCAATATTATAAATTATTAATAAAAACTAGCTATTAAACGTTAAATATCGTTTAAATTCATAATTCACAATTTATTAGAGAATCTTTTTCAATTCTTTATTTTGTTCAAACAAGTTGTCTATATTATTATTATTATATAAAACTTGTAAATCAGAATTCGTAATAGATTACAGATTACAAGATTCCAGAACTTGGGGAAAATAGAATCTACACAAATTCTAACCCCACAAAGATTTCTTGATCCAAAGGCAAAGCAATCATACAAAAGAGGAGAGAAGAGAGTTTTAAAATACTAAAAATGTTTTTTTATTAAAATTTTAATTTAAAATTAATAAAATTATAAATTTTTTAATTTATCTATTGATTGTGGTTGGGATTGAATCTTACGGTTATCACACATTAATTAGTTCTCATTTGATTAGGCTCCTATATATATATTTTATAATATATATATATTATTTATTTTCTAAGATTAGGTCTTGACCGTAGACAAGGATTGGGTTTGACCAGAAAATAAACTGAAGACGAGATGTTAATCCTCATACTCACCAGAGACCGGTGCTGGGAACTGTTACTAAAAACCAGGGTGGAGCCAGGATTACAAAACCTGCCCCATCCCCGCCCCGTTGCCATGCCTAGTCCGGCCAACCAACCTCACTTCAATCCCATAACAGAGACTACGACCATTTCAACTGATCACCACCACCAATATCTTATCTCAAACCATTTTAGAGCAAAAATATAAACAATGAACATGAACATGAACATGATGAGATTGAAGAAAATCAAATTAGTAAATCAAAAAATCATTGTTTAGTTCCATGTAATCAAATTATAGTTACAAAGCCTGAACACAAACATATTAAACCATAACTCAAACTTAAACCCTAAGTCAAACTCAAATTTAAACCCTAAGTCAAACTCAAATTTAAACCCTAAATCAAATTCAAATTCAAATTCAAACCCAAACCTAAACCCACAAGCGAACTCAAACCCTAAATTAAAATCAAGCTAAAACTAAAACTTAGATAACATATTATGCAATGAATCGAATTACACGAACCATAATCATAGCTTACTGGAGTGATGAAGAAGTTGATGGTCAATATGTGATATTGGAAAGCATCCTCAATGAAATCTTCTTGAGGTCTCACGAAGCCTTTACTTGTCCGTTAGAAAGCTCTCTCTTTCTAAAAAATGGAGAGATGGAGTGGTGTTCGTTCGTAGATGATCGGTCAGCAGAGACGGGGGATGGGTCTACGGGGTTTAATTTAGAGAGAGAGAGAGAGAGAGAGAGAGAGAGGGAGGAAGGGAGAATGGCAGGTGATAGGTTTGAGAGCAGTTGCAGTTATAGGGAAAAGTGGCAATGGG